AGTTATAGATGAAACTATGCACTATCGGTGCACTATTGGTGTACCAATAGTGTATTGATAGTTCTAATAAACTAATTAGTTTCACTAACAACTCTAATTATATTATACTATGAGCTCTCTCTGGTTGAGTGGTGAATCACTAATTAATAATATATTCTTTCCAAATTTGAATAAAAATAACTCATCAACTATCAAATAATTTAGTAAATTTTTTTTATTTTTATTCTAAAAATATATATAAAATCTAGTTAGATAGTTGCCAAGATATCTTAATAAATGCTTTAGATATTTTTAAAACTTCAGCAAAAATATTTTGACAACTAAGGTGAGTATAGATATTATAGTGCAGTAAGTTTTATAGCCAATAGTATGTAATATAGTGATCAGAATCGAATGATTCTGGTACTATTCAATTCATCTCGATAAGACGAATCAAATGATACTAAAATCAGTTGATTCTGATTACTAGATCATGAAATATTACAAATTAAAATAAAAGTCAAAAAATTAATAAATTATGATGCAGAACTAATTATGGCACACACATAATAATTTGTGATAACTTATGATTTAGTAATTGAAACTAGATGATTTTGGTACTATTCAATTCATATTAACAAGACGAATCAAATAGTACCAAAATTGCTTAATTCTAATCAATAGATACCAAGATATATTCAACTAAAGATTATTTTTTATTAAGTTAAAAAAATTAACTTTAAATGGATTTTTTACTAAGTAAATTGATTTCATTATTAAGATAATTTTGTTTGTTGTAATAAATTTTACTTAATACTAAAGTTTTATAAAAATCAAATAATTTTTTATTAATTAATTTTTATAAAATATGTTTCTATATTAAAAGAATATATTAGACAATATAAAAAAAATTAATTGGTTTTCATATTCAGCCAGGTCGGAAAATTTTAAGATCTAAAATTTTTTTATGCCGCAGTAAATAGATAACTAATCAAATTACGTAATTATTACAAATGTAAAATTGACTTTATTGTAACAAAAGCATAAAGATATAAGCTACGATATTAAGCTATTTATGTACATATTACATAGTTCTGCGTTATTTACCCCTTTTTATTAACTTAAGGACACCACTTAAAATGCTTTTTTGATAAAGGTAAAGCCTTTTCATCACACCCACCGCACAAAGGAAATTTATTATTTGATTTTGTAATATCTCTGCTGCTATAAAGAAAACATACGACAGGAAATATTCTAGCCGAATAGTAGGGTTTTTTGATTGGTGATGTATAGCTCCAAGAATCATTTACAAAAACCTGCTGAAAGAGTTTATAGATTAGGTCTTCCAGGGAATTTTTTTCTAATCTAACTTCAGATTTTTCAAACTCTTCATTAAAAGCCTTATTTATATCCTTTTCATCATTATTTATATTCACTTCATTTGTACCTACTTCATCATCACTAATATCTACATCTTCTATGTAAGAACAACTAGATCTAGCAATCATAGTAGCAACTGTACTAAGTTGGTCGTCACTTAGTTGATCGTTATTTAGTTGATCATCACTTAGTTGGTTGTACTTGGTTAATCGTTACTTGGTTAGTTGTCACTAAGCTGGTCACTTGGTTGGTCATCATTCTGTTGGTTGTTACTTCATTGATCATTACTTTCATCTAGAGATAGTAAAAAAAACAGGTTTAAATATTTTTTCATTGATTTAAAACAGGTAATGATTAAAATCCTAATAGTTAAATTTGGATGAATATATTTAGAACCAAAATCATCATCTGTTTTTAATTATATAATAAAAAACTTTTGCTATCTTTACTTTCATCA